GTCAGGCTAGGTTTTAAGAAGCTACATTATTTTCTTGCGTGATTGATTTAATAAGAAAAGAAAGAAAATTTTTTTTGCATATACATATTTGTTCGGTATGCCATGTCACATTGCAAGGAATAGAGGGTGCATATAATGTCATTCTCTCAAATATATTGACTATGACTCATATTATACAGGTTTTGTATAGATAATGGGGCTATGATAGCACAAGCTGGATGGGAAATGTTTTGTAGTGGACAGACAACACCATTGAAAGAAACTTGGTGTACTCAAAGGTACGTACATTCTAACTGCCTGGATTTGATGTGTTCATTGATTTTGTGTTTATTGATGTGTTCATTGATGTTCATTGATTTTGTGTTCATTGATGTGTTCATTGATGTTGATTTTATTTTCACAGAATCAAAAAAATTTTAAGTATTTTTGGACTAAATAGACACTATATCTATTTGCCTACATGTCTTAAAGGGTGGTGTTCGTACTGCGCATGTGCAACATTTGTCTTGATAAACATTGATTTTCCCACAAAGGAAATCACAAGTATGAGGTTTGACTTGGTCTGACTTGCACTAATTACCATCAGTGACTCCTTCGATACCTTCCAATCACCTAAAAAATACCTAATTAAAGCTTGGTAACGTCTAGTTTGTACTCGTTGATCAACAGTCAAAGTCGCCATGTTTGTTTACATGAGACCCATATATCTTGTGCATGTGTGGCGTGACTACCGCCCTTTAATCAATTTTTGAAATAAATATGTGTGTTTATTTCATGAAATGGGACAAAAGTTGACTTTGGGTTTTAAAATGTAAAATTTTTACATACACTGGTACATACAGTAAAGCCAATCAACTAATGAACCATGTGTGAACCATAGATTTGCATAATATAGATAATTTTATTATCATATTTAAGATTAGACTTGTTCACTGTAATATCATTTGTCACAATTTCAAGATATTTCTAAGAATAAATGCTTGTATTAAAAAAATCCAGTCTTGGTACCATAATGTTCATAATTTGCCAGTAAATGGGATTTTTTTATATATTTTTATTATCAGATATAGGACTGATGAAGTAGAAGTGACTTGGAGGGAATGAGTTACTATTACAACCATATCGTGGTGTACCTTATTATTAGTGGATGTCAGCTGTTGCAAATAGTGTCAGAATTGACTCCTGCATGCATGGCGCCCTCGCAAACATCTCATATTTCTTGTAATTACAATTTTTTTAGACTATTTTATCAAAACATAGAGAAAAGAAAAACTCCATATTCATGGCAGATTGAAATTAAAACACATGTTTTTTGACAATTTCAAAATAAAAATTTGAAAAAACAAAACTAACATTTTCTGGGTCTAACCTGTAATTTTTCTAAAATAATTGAAATGCATATTTGCTTATGTATTTTAATTCATAATAGTTTGTGATTTGTGCATATTAACTAATCAGCATTTTAATTCAACTTATTCCATGCTGTATGTGCATTTCAGTGTTATAATAGCTTACCTGCAGATTAAGTAACACTGAACAAATTCAGTCACGTCTGGTTTCCTTTCTCTTATGAAAATTTCTGCTTGTGACTTTTTTTATTTTTCTAATCCTGTATGATCTTTTTTAGTAACCGTGATGAAATGTGCCATTTTGGACAATCTGTTCACTTTTGCAAGTCTGTTATCAGTCAGCTTAATAACTAAATCAATAAAATGAATTGCAAATATCAATCGAGTAGCCAAGGTGTTAAAAATGGATTGAGTACTGACAAATCAAATTATCCTTTGAGTTTTCAGGTTTTCCTTATAAAGACATGTTGGCTGTTATTTCTCTGGAAATCAGAGGAAATATTTTCTGTTGTACTCAACAAAGGAGCTCAATACTAAACACAAAAGAAAGTTTAATGGCTTAAAGTAGGATTTAGATCGTGTTAAAATCCAAATCCCCCTTGGAAGAGTTGCAAACAACAATTTTCATATACTACTTAGCTGATGACTAAACAAAAGTACCGGTATATACCAAACTGCATGAAAATTATACCAAAAACTAGGTAAACCTACCAAATACATATATATGCTCAAGTGAAATAAACTATATTGTCTACCGTCATCAGTCTCTCCCAGTGGTAACTTAACAATCTCACACATTCCATTTTTTTTTAATGTCATTGTATAATAATAATAATTTTACCACTTACACATTCCCTGGAGGGATTGGCAATGGTTACAAATGTTTGAGAAAAAAAATTTTAAAGTATAAGACACTTTGGTGTACCTTGCTTATGGCTGTCAGTAACATGCATGTATAAAGAATAACCGGCAAATGCAATCTTGAAATGCTTTTCACACAGACCCTTTATCTACAAATCACACTGCATTTCATTATATGCCTAGGTATGACATCTACCAATGCACTGCTGGATGACATGCCTTCAGAAATAAAACTACCATATTTACTCTATTAGAAGTGCACATAAATTAAAAATGACATGTATTGTGCACTGGATTGTTAAAGGGGAACCGCTCAATTCCATGGATTGCACCAAAGAATCATGGGACACTATTGTTTATGTTGTTTACAATGTTAATCTATCTTTTGTTATCCATTGTTATTTTAATCCAGAAAGTAAATTTGTTGTGAAATTAATCTTAACTGGAAGGTGCCCCTTTAAAATATTCATGTTATTTACTTGAGCACATATGGTATTACTAAAAGGGCAGGTGGAAAATACATCATATTCAAGTGACAATGAGGAAAAAATAACTTTAGCAGTTTAACGCTAAGGCTGATATTGTAGAACATAAAAATGAGAGCCAATTCTTTTTATTGCTACGTTCCAGAAAATCTCTTGTATGGTAGTCTCTTTGAAAATAACCTTTTTCAGTTCATCGTAACTTGCAATGAGACTAATTTAAAAACATGAGGTTAAAAATCAGGAAATTCAAAACCCATATAAACCACTGAGATTTCTGTATCAGAGCAAAAAAAAAATTAAATTTGGTGGTTTATTGTAGACTGTATTGTGTACAAATAAGATTGAGGGTTTGTTCCTGTAGTTCATTTTTTTTTTCAATCTGGTCCATCCAGAAAAGCTAAACAGCCAACACACCAGTATGTGGAAAAACATTATGGATTATTACATGTATTAGGTTTTGAGGGCTATGGAGTCCCAAAAA